AAAAAAGTGGAAGCAAAAAATAAACAAGTGTGCACTGAAATAGCTATAATAATAACGCCTAGTGACACACTGCGACAATTTACACGGCCAATTAGTCAGCCGTCTCCATTTCTTTCCTTCGGTGTGCACTCAATGGCGGTTATCAATTAGCAAAGTAAGGCAGTTTATCGCCCAGCTGCAGACTTGCAGATAAGCTAACAGCTGTTGACTAGGTGGCTGCACTCACCATCTCCCGTACAGAAGTAGCCTTTGAACTTGTGGAAGTAAGTCATCTCGTAGCGTTCGTGATTGGAGTCAATGGTGCGTGCTATGGAGGGCCAGGGCTTCTTGATCGCCAGTATGCCGCTTCCCGACCCCTCAATCTCCCGGCCGTCCGCGTCGAGGATCACCGGGACGACGCCGAAGAAAGGAAACGTTGCTGAGCCGGGCTTCAACGGGGTGCAGCCGGGTAACGGGGTCAACATCGGTGCTGCCTAAAGTGAGAATTTGTGGTTGTTAAAAAACAGTAAAATTATGAAGGTTTTTATGAGCTTACGGTCTCCGTTTGCCAGAAGGTGTCTACAATGGGACATCGCCTCTTGCCGACAATCTGGTAGTACCAGCACCAGGCCTCAGGGTTGATGGGCTCACCGGCGGTGCCCAGAAGGCGCAACGAGTCGAGACTGTACTTTGCCACCACCTCATCGCCGTACTTCATCAGCGAGCGAATCGCCGTCGGCGCCGTGTAGAAGATCGTCACGCCCAGCTTGTCGACCACCTCCCACAGTCGGCCAGGGTGCGGGTAGAAGGGCGTTCCCTCAAAGAGCACAATGGTGGCGGCGTTGGCGAGGNGGTCTCCGTTTGCCAGAAGGTGTCTACAATGGGACATCGCCTCTTGCCGACAATCTGGTAGTACCAGCACCAGGCCTCAGGGTTGATGGGCTCACCGGCGGTGCCCAGAAGGCGCAACGAGTCGAGACTGTACTTTGCCACCACCTCATCGCCGTACTTCATCAGCGAGCGAATCGCCGTCGGCGCCGTGTAGAAGATCGTCACGCCCAGCTTGTCGACCACCTCCCACAGTCGGCCAGGGTGCGGGTAGAAGGGCGTTCCCTCAAAGAGCACAATGGTGGCGGCGTTGGCGAGGGCTCCGTAGACGTTGACGGTGTGACCGGTGATCCAGCCAAGGTCGGCCGTGCAGAAGAAGACATCCGTGGGGCAGTAGTTGAAGACGTACTTGAAGGTGGTCGCCGCGTAGACCATGTACCCGGCTACGGTGTGCAGGACGCCCTTCGGTTTGCCGGTGCTGCCGCTGCAGAGTTGAAAAACAAGATTTTAAACACTCAGTTTGAAAGTGTTCCCCGCTTACCTCGTGTGAAGGATGAAGAGTGGATCCTCCGCCTCTACCCACACAGGCTCCACGTAGTCGGGCATGTTCTTCAGTGCGACGTCCCACCAGACGTCCGTGGCGGCGTTCCACTTAATTGCCAGGTTGTTGTTGATGTCAGAGGCGGGCGAGTGGACGCACAGGTGGCGCTGGACGATGCAGCACTTCAGGGGATGCCCTCTGACAGATGAGGAGGAAAAAGAAGAAGAAAAAAGTTAGAATTCAAAAGAACTTTCATTCAGTTTTCACACGCACTTGTTTCGGCAGATGTCCATCGCTGAGTCTGCGATTTCCTTGAGCGGAATCAACTTGGTTCCGCGCAGTGAGCCGTCCATCGTGACCAGCAGACTGCAACGGGCATCAATGATGCGCTCAGAAAGCGACTGTGCTGAGAAGCCTGCAAACTGAAGAGTGAAGCCGTGTCAAGAGATGAAAAGGAAAACAAGATAATTATATTAATTAAGTTCTAATAAGCCTCCCTATCATCTTACCACGACAGTGTGAATGACGCCAATTCGGACGGCGCCTAGCATGGCCACCACCAGGTCAATGGTGACGGGCATGTAGATGGCTATGCGGTCGCCCTTTTTCAGGCCCTTTGAGCTGAGAAAGGCGGAGAACTTGCACACCTCTTTTCGTAGACTGCCGTAGGTGATGCTGCGAGACTGCTCCTGTTCATTACCCTCCCTAAAAAAGATGTTTACAAACTAGTTAAGTTTAAAAAGTACTCAAACACTGACCAGTAATAGGCGACCCTGTCGGCAAGTCCTGCTTCAATGTGCCGATCGAGGACGTTGTAGCAAATGTTGGTCACCGCCCCCTCCATCCACTTGACATTGATGGGGCCTTTGCCAATGTCAAAGTTGTAGTTGAGAAAGCTGGCCATCGGCGGCGGCACCTTCCAGTAGAAGTTCTTGCAGAATCCAGCCCAGAACTGGGCGGGTTTCTCCACTGAGGCTTTGTACAGTCGTCGGTACTCCTCCATGCTGTCGATGTACGCGTCCTTCCGGTACTCATCATTGGGCATCACCACCAGCTGCTGCTGGTCACTGGCACTCGACTGGTCGGATATGGCCATCGTCTTCTTCTTAAGGTAAGGAAAGAAGAGGATGGGAATAAAGGTGCGTTCACTTTTCTGAACAAAATCGGGTGAGTGAAACGTAAAAGCGGTGTTGTGCGTAAAAATGTTTGTTGGTTGTTGGTTTTATAGGCCAGCAGTAGTAATATTAAAAAGAAAAAAATCGTGGAATCAGTAAAATCTCAAAGCTCAATCATATCTCCTTTGCTGAAGCATTTGAAGCGCAGCTGCCTGCAGGGCACAGAACACACATGTACTGATGAGTGTCGTTAATCGATTAAGTTTGATATCTTGAAAAAAATCAATGCAAATTAGATGTTAGTAGAAGAAGAAACTCGAAACAATAACGTTGAAGTCTCAAAAGTCACAGCAACAAGTGGCAGCCACGACAGCTCAGCCGACTGAGCACTGAACAAACGGACGAATATTGGCCAGCACCAGCGGCGGAGGCAGACAAAGTGACGCTGTGTTTCGATTTTGTCAACAACAACAAAATCATGCAATAACATAACAAGCGTTAATAATAAAAAGAAATACTACTGCTCTATTAGCACACGACAAAGACGATCGAACGAGAGGAGTGTGCAGTGTGAAGTTGTGCTATGGCTGCTGCCGATGATGATGGCGGCGTTGATGATGGTGCTGGTGTTCGTCGATTGGTGCCCGTCCGAGCAGCAGCAGCCCAGTTAATGCTGCCGTACTTGGAAGCGCAGAAGCAGCAGCAGCGGCGGCGACGGCAGCGGCAGCAGCAGCGAATCGAGACGGCGAGATGTAAACGAGAATTTTGCTTTTCCCCTGGCGCTGATTGACGGCGACAACAACGACGGCGACTTCGAAGATTATTACTTTATGACTTCTATCCTTCTCCTTCTCTCCCTGTGTGTCTGTGTGTGAACGAGTAAGTGTGTGTGTGCCTGATCGCACTTGGTCTCCTCGATCGAGTGCGGCACGGGCGCCTCGTTGGCAGCAACGACTTTAGCTTGAGCGCACAGAGGCAAATCAGTCAGCAGGCAATTACTGCAAACAGCAACTCCAGCAGCAGCAGCAACTGTAGTCGAAGTTACTTCTGTTGCTGCTGCTGCCGCAAAACCGTTAGTGCGGAAAACGAGCATCTACAGCTCTAGTCGTAGCTGGTAACAAACCCAGAGTCAAGCTTTTGACAGATTTGGCAATAGACAGGCGCTCACACTTTGTCTCGTGCCTGTCTGGCTGTACCTATGAACGACTCTCGAACTTTTTTCTCTCCTTCTCTCTCCTGAAGTGATCTATCTTTGATCGCGTGGACTTCCACTGGGTGAGAAGAGAGGTGATAGGCTATCAACAAAAATATCACCTACTACTTCAAGAATTTTGGAGTTGCAAGAAGAAATGTCGTCAAAATTGGAGCTGACAGTAGCTCTGATTGACCAAGTGATTCACACTTCGAAGTGCGAGCCAACTTGCTGTGTGATCTATCGAAACAACGTGTTCACACACACTCTGCGACACATAAGCTAAACTGCGTCTGATGCTAATGACTTTCAGCCTCGCCAGTCTCAGTGTAGCATTTGTCACACGGGTTACACCGACTGGTGGCAGCTTGACTGCAGTCTTGACTGCAGGTGCCACTTTACCTGTGCACTAGCAAACCACTGGCATTTTCCTCGGACGCCAATGACCGATCTGACGAGCACAGCAGGAGTACTGAGGTAATTTTGAGCAATGAAACGCCGTCATTTTCAGCTACAGCAATCACTAGCACCAGTGCTACTACTACGAGTACTGATATAGCACTTGGAAAATTGTTTCAAACAGCTTGGAGCAGCAACGGCTAATTTATTGCTCAATCCGTCTCTTGTCTCTTGACACTAAAAGAGCTTGCACTCGAGGTAGAGACAAAGGCAGCGGCGGCGGCAGCAGCAACAGCAGCAACAACAGTTGCAAAAAAAGCAACAGCAGCTGACAATCACAGAAGTGTGTCTTTTCTTCTTGTCCTTTCTTAGCCCAGAGCCACCACCAGCGTCACTGTAGCCATCGAGGACTCGTTATCATCCATTGTCACCGATCACCGTTCGGTGATTGCCGCTGCTGAACACATTAGCCTGAACACATTCAATTGACTGAAACTNCAGCGTCACCGTAGCCATCGAGGACTCGTTATCATCCATTGTCACCGATCACTGTTCGGTGATTGCCGCTGCTGAACACATTAGCCTGAACACATTCAATTGATTGAAACTCAATCGAATGGCTACTGGACTGTTTGCTGTACAACTGGCGAACAGTGTAGAAAGGATGTAAATGACAGCAACACTGGTTCACTACCGAGAAATACAAATTTGAGTGACGCAAGAAATCACTGATGCAACAGAGAATCAAGAATAATCACAATAAGGAAAAGATGATGATGAAAAGTAGAGTGGCTCACAATTTACAAGGTCAACCAAATATGAAAGTAGCAATTGATGATTAACAACACAAAAGATCAAGTTTTCAGTTGGTTGCATGGTAAAATCAGAATATTCACAAAAATGAAGATATTAAATGTTCCACTTACCGGTGCTCCTACTGATGATGAAGGCCTTTTTTCACTGTAGGTCGAATGACTGCTGTAAAGCTGTTGCTGAGTGCAGATCTTTTATGCAGTTACTGCCTGCCTGCAGGTTAATCGGTACTGATAAGCAAAAAAGCCCACCTAGCACTTGACTGACTTCGTCTCGGAAGGTCTCGTCTTTATATAGTCTCTCACTTGGTTGTCCTTT